TCGGCTAACCTCCTCGCCATCACATTATCCACCTTTACAGCAGGGTTTGTAGCTAAATAATAACAAATAAACAAACTGACTAACTAAAACGTATCAATATTGCCATTATTTTATGAAAATGACAATACACGTTTTATTACAATATAATATAATAAGAATATATTTTTGTATATAATTACTTATATCCTGTACATAAAATACATGAAATAATATTTGGCAACTTAGCGATTCTCATATGCTATGAGCCTATTCGTGTATGAATAGGCTTCCAATAACAGTATGGTAAAACTGGCATCTATAAAGCAATCTTGACACTATGCTGAGCGGAGCGACCTGCCTCAGCATTTCGTCAAAAAAAAACGAGTATGTCATTGTAATGCATGAGATACGAGTCAGTATACCATGCAGCCTACTTTACCAAACATCGCAAGTTTAATGTTTATGAAGAAACTAAAGTAAAAAATATAAAAAAATAAATAATATAATATTATGTGCTTAAAAAACAATAAGTATTTGACATTGCTTTCTGGGCAACTTGGATAGTATTTTGATCAACCTAGATGTATCTTTCAAAACAGTTTGAACGCCATCTCCCTAGTCGTTTGATAACATGCTCATTGACATGGCACACACTGGCTGTGCAACTAGCACCTTGTCTTAATGAATGACCACTATATTTGTCAACATTTGGTATTTTTAAGTGCCATAGAATTGCCAGTAAGTTTTCAACAAACGACCATCTTGTTAAAGGCAGACCAGTGCGTTCCACAAAAAAGGCACAGTTCATATTGGAACTATGAAGTCCTCTTTCCTGTAACATTTCTAAATAAGATAGAACACATTCATGAGGGCAATCGGTAGATTCAGTGCGGAAAAGGTCAAAAGTAACACCTTCCCTGAAGGGATCTGTTTTAAATTTTTAAGAGTAATAGACACTTTATCAGGAAATAATTTCACATCACACCTGGATAGATTACTACTAGGGTCGAATTGAAAGATTCCAGGTGCCGTGAACTCAGATGCCCTCATAAATCCAAACCATCCCACAATGCAAGCACACTTCATAAGTGCATCTGTGTGTTGGTCTAATAAATCAGATTCTAAAACTACACATATTTTACTAAGATTATCAAAAGTTAAGGGTAGTTTCTGATTAATTACATTATTTTGGTTACGTTTCACTGCTTTCAGCAATTGAGTGATTTTTGTCAGAGACATTGTATCTGCAAAAACCGTGCAATCACCATTACAACTCATGTAGTGATATTTGATACCACTAATATACATTTCTATGGTAGTTGTCCTAACATTTTGTTTACTGCAGTAAGTTATAAAATTAAGTAGCGATGATTCGCCCAGTGGAGGTAGATTAGTCGTCCAAACGAAACCACATCCAGCCATTAAAGTACAATATTTCTTGAATGCAGATACATAATTTTCTTTTTGATGGTGCTACCGAATCAAGCCACTGGTCACTGGCGTTAAAAGTCCACAAAACTTCCTTGGGCTGAGGGCATGTCTCTCGTCGTAGATTGTTCTCCATACCCACTTCTCCCAGAAAATGCTGTAACATATCACGTGATAAAAAATTAGCCCATCTGTTCCTGACCCCTTCAATGTGACGAGAGGTAATCAAACAATTGTTCTTACACAATTGATACGTTAACATTCTCATTAATTTCATGATATTGACCCCCCTTTCCTAATAGCTATAACAGTTGCTAAATTGTCACAATAAAATACAATTCGTTTTTGTGACAGTAGTGAACCCCAGAGTATAATGGCAACAACAATGGGATATAGTTCCATGAAAGCCATAGATAAATCTTGAGGGTTTATATCATCCCATGTGAAGTCGTCCCATTTTGCTGCAAACCACCGCCCGTGTGATTCGAAATATCCACCAAAACCAATAGTAGAACTACTATCAGTCCATATCTTGATGTCGTTTGCGGTAGTAAGATTCCGGTCATAGAATAAGGATATTCCATCCCAATTTGTAAGGAAATATTTTAACCGTATCATTGCAAGTGTAGTAATGATGACATTATTAACTTATCATTAATGAATCTGTCTCTTTCACCATTGTCTCCAGGGGTTCTCTGGCTCCTCCCTTGCTGAACTGGCTTCTGGTTCATTCTTGATCTCTGGCGCAGGTGGGCTCCTAGTTACAGATTTCGAATCATCATCCGGGGTAGTTACTTTGCCTTGGACGCCTTTTTGGTACATGTACCACTTGTTTAATTGAAGAAGGCATTAGCCTGTCTTTGTACATGGCATTCTAGACTTTACCGTGGATGTTTTCAGATTTCCAATCAGGAGAGGGGGCCTGAAATATTGGCTTATTGTAATATTCAGGTTGATTAAGCCAAGGGCTAATGAGGGGAGACTTGGTGGTTTTAGTAGTGCTGCTTTCACTTTCTTTCTCCTTATTCACAAATTCACTTGAATCAATATCAAATAATTTTGGGATTTTATGGGGGGGAGACTTGGATGTGTTTTCAGTATTGCTGCCTTCACTTTCTTCAGCTTGCCTGTAAAACATGGAAGATGTTTCGGCCATTTGTCTCATTATTTCCTCATCTGGGAAGTTGCATTTGATGTTCTTGCTATACCTTTTGCCCCAAAGGGACTTTATCCTTTGTTTATGATATTGAGGTACTATGTGGCTTGACTTCATGTGTAAGACAAACTTCTGGGGCACTGTTTTTGGCATTTTGAATCTACAGGACCAATATAAGAATTTAAAGCAAGGAGAGTGATCAAGCTCATAATGATCTACCAGCAAGTATACATCTGTACATGTTTACAGCACATTGGACAGTTCTGTAATAAAATGTGTTTTCCATGAATTATGGAATCAAGTTTGTAATCTTGAAACTTGAATCTTGAAAGTATGTTAAGAAGTATGTTACAGACTTATAACCGATACATCAGAATTTGTTCTGCACCTTTTTATGTCCCCACCACATAGTGTGGGGCCATATTGTCGTCCTAGGCGCGTCCGTCCGTCTGTCTGTCTGTCTGGTTGTCTGTCTGTCCGTCCGTACGTCCGGCAGTTTTCTCTAAAACCGCTACAGGTATCACCTTCTAATTTTCAGGAATAACTTATGAGTGCCTATAGATGTGGATGAAAAAAATTTAACTCGAAACCTACTTCCTGTCGGCCATTTTGAAGTCAAATGCTAAAATCCTTGTCTGCAAACTTTAAGAAAAACTGCTTCACAGTTGCTTTTAAAACTTTAACATCTTGTTCAGCTCACTTCATTCTAGATCTGATTAGGTTTTGGACCTGCTAGCTCAGTCATGTCAGCCATTTTGAATGTCTTAAGAAAAGTTAGCGCGCGATAATACTTTGTATCATATTGAATGGTGTTTTTGAGTTTTCATACTTTAACTATTTAGTAGCTTTATAAATAATTTCAGATGTACTTTGCTGTAAAAGCCTACTTTATTGTTAACAGTAGCTATATGTGATAATTTTGTAAAAAGAAATCAGCAAAAACTCATAAGGACTTTTTTATTGTCGGCCATTTTGGATTTTTCGGTCCTAAAATCTTGTCTGTGAAGTCTTGTCTGCGCGTTTTCAGGTGAACCGTTTGGTGGATCAATTTCAAATTTTCAGGGATGATTCTTAGTATAAAAATCTAGATCTCATTAGTTTTTTGGCATTCTCGGTAAATGTCAAGGCAGCCATTTTGGATTTTCCATCCTAAAATCTTGTCTGTAAAGTCTTGTCTACTCGTTTTCAGGTGAACTGTTTGGTAGATCAATTTCAAATTTTCAGGAATGATTCTTAGTATGAAAATCTAGAACTGATTAGTTTTTTTGCATTCTGGGTAAATGTCAAGGCAGCCATTTTGGATTTTCCGTCTTAAAATCTTGCCTGTAAAGTCTTGTCTACGCGTTTTTAGGTGAATGGTTTGATAGATCAATTTCAAATTTTCAGGGATGATTCTTTGTATGAAAATCTACATCTGATTACTTTTTTTGCATTCTGCGTAAATGTTAAGGCAGCAATTTTGGATTTTCTGTCCTAAAATCTTGTCTGTAAAGTCTTGTCTACCCGTTTTCAGGTAAACCGTTTGGTAGATCAATTTCATATTTTCAGGGATGATTCTTAGTATGAAAATCTACAAACAGATTAGTTTTTTGACATTCTTGGTAAATGTCAAGGCAGCCATTTTGGATTTTCCATCCTGAAATCTTGTCTGTAAAGTCTTGTTTACATGTTTTCTGGTTAACTGTGTGACGGATCAATTTCAAATTTTCAGGGGTGGTTCTTACTATGAAAATCTAGAACTGACTAAATTTTTGGCATTCTGGGTAAATTTTAAGGTGGCCACTTTGGATTTTCCGTCCTCAAATTGTGTTGGTAAAGTCTTGTCTACTCATTTTCAGGATAACCATTTCATGGGATCACCACTTGGTGGGGACATTTTGTACACATTTGTGTTCTTGTATATATATATTGTGATATTGGTTCATGAATGCAACTTTTGCTCATTCCTCCTGTTGTGTAGTGATTATATTTTTCTGTTAATGTTCTAATTTTTGTTATCTTCTCAAAAACTTATTCTTCTGAAGCCATTTCTATAACACCTCCTGTCCTGAAGCTGGACTAATAGAGACTGAATTGTCTAAATATAGATGTCACCCTAATGAATATTAATCGTTTTAGTTGTGACTCTATGTCAATAAACATGGCCTGGATTTTAGCCAGCATTATTGACTTATCAAATGACCACTCTGACCTGAACGTGGAGCTGCTGTATTTATTACTAATTATTATCACTCTAGCATGGTGATTAGAAACTAAAAAACAATAATCTAAGGACTAATTGTAACCTATATAACTATATATATTTGTATATACAATGCCATTTAAGCATGATTCTGTATTTCTAAATCTTTTGTCAAGATATTAAAGCTACACTGTACTGTACTTGATACAGAATGAACTCAGACTATTTATGAAAAACATAACCAAATTAATCTAATTAGGCAATATAATCATTCATCCAACTAGGTTTTCTTCTAACTCTGCCCTTTCCAGAAGTATCAATACCATCTGGTTCAATTGATGGACCTATCATATCAGCTTCTGACAATAAACCATTTTCTTCAGATACTTTTCCACTTTCACTATCAGTATTGTTTAACTTGACAGGCAGTTTCTCCCTGTAGAATTTTTTAAGTCTGTTAACATGTACGACTTTTGTTTTTGTGTTTTCACTGCCAATTGCCACCACCAGATCAGAAATTTTGTCTTTAATTTTAATTTCCACTTTCTATGAAGTTTTGGGCTTACATTTCTGGGGACAACCGGGTCAAAGATCCAGACAAGGTCACATTTTTGGAATTGGGGAGAAAATGCCTTATGGTCGTAATGACGTTTCTGCATATCACTTGATATTTTGATATTATTTTGGGCTACATCGTATACTTTTAACAAGCGTTATTGTAAGTTTTGACAGTAGTTTGTGTGCCTGGTTGTACTGGCCCCTAGCATAAGAGTAGATCTGTTCTTATGCCCGGCATAAGAGTAGATCTCTTCTTATGCCCAGCTTAAGAGAAAATCTTATCTCTGCCTAAGATGAGATCTTTCTTTATGCTTGGTAAAATATAATAATGATCAAGAGTAGAGTCATGGATAAAAACATGCAGATTTATGTAGATCATTTAACAAAATACCTTACATTACAATTGATATAATATTTTATTTTCAGTCATGCCAATTTTGTTATAACATTTGGCCATTGGCAACATTTGAGTTTTTTAAACACTTCTTTACAACACAATAGAATCACATTTTTAATATTTTAAAGAATATACTATTGTTACTTTAAAGAGTTGACACTTCCCGAAACTATTGTAACCCAAAAGACAATTGACTGTCAAGCAGTTCATTAAAGCTGAACTAAGAACCCTATTCATCCATTCAATTATAGAATATTTAACACAAAAGAAATCTAAATCTTTCCTGTTACATGTAGTGCATTGAAGCTTAACTATTGATCTAATATTATAACTAGCTCTAATAATAACTATTTATCTATTAATCACATAATTTATCTCGAATTTAAAATCTTTTAATAACAATGCATGTGAAATTTCATATTTTTGTATTTCCAAGTTTGTGCTGTGTCTTTCCTAACCCTGCTTATCAACTAGAGCCCTTGTAGTGAACTCTCACCCTCACCCATCTGTCAGTATCATTGTACACAGCCACTTGGGCCTATTAGTTAGCATGCATTAGAACTGTGCTTGGCTTCTAGACACTGCTACAAACCCTACTCTCGGTGGAGGAAACATAACCTTTTGTGCTCTTGACACTACTGCTCTACTATAAACTATACTTTAACCCTCCCTAGACCCCAAGAAAGTATCACTCTACAGTTTGCAAATTTTGCTAGGATCACTTTTTGTGATTTTATAACCATATCCAATTTTGTTAAAACTGATAGCACAGGAATATACCAAGAGTACAGTATCTCTCTGAACAATATTTGAACTGCACAAAAAACAAATGCTACAATCTGACAATACATGCTTCTATTAACAGTTATCAATATATCTCCAATCTCACCATTCATGCCATTTCAACATTGATCTTCAAAAGACCAATCAAGTAAAGTGTGCCATCTATTGGTTTTGATGTCATTCTTCAGTTTAAATGTATGATTTATTCTTGGTGTGTATTTCCAAAATTGATGAATAATTTAAGTTCTTTGAATGAAGGAGATGATTAACCTATTTGTAATTTTCATAAACTTACAATTTAGTTTACCTTACATCATAAATCTATCAAAAAGGGGTCAGAATTGATTTATTGAAAATGTATATGTTATATTATCTAACTATTATTTTCAAATTCTTAATTCATTCAACATCATGAATTTTGCTATTATTGTTAAAATACTTTGTAATGTAATGCACTTTGGACATGTAACTTACACTCTCCTCCAAATAATTCTTCTTCTAATAATACATGTACAGTGTATAACTCTGTAACTTATATGCTTTCACAAATTATTTAGCTCGATTGATTCACTCACAACATTCAATTGCAACTTTGATAAATTAGCCTTAGCCACTAAAGGCTACCCTATTAATCTATTAGTTTGCATTAATTAACCTGTCAGTTTGAAGTTGTAATTTACGAACAATCCATTTGTAGACTAACAGCGATCACATGACTTTCTACTATGCCATTTCCACATGAGCGAACATACTTAAAATGTGTTTTTCGCCTGCACCAGATGTACTTCCACTATTTACAATTTCGAACACTTCGATAGTCGGTGTTGCTGCTTTACTATCCATTATTGTTATTTTGGTCAGCTAATTACTTTTGAGGCGAGTGCTGGCAAATAATGGGCACTGCGGGTAATATTCATATTTAAATGAGTTTTTTGAGTGTTTTACAATGTGTTGCTGTAGTTCTAAATATATAACGTATATACTTTCACAAATGAATCAGCTTGATTGATTCAACAACATTCAACTGCAAATGTTCACCACTTACAAAATTGATAATAGCCTTAACTATTCAATACATTATAATCTTTATATAGTAGTCACAAAAATGTATTTTAGGTGACGTGTCTACTACTACAGGGAGTTTTTTTTATACAGGAGTCAATGTAAAAATTGTCTGGAATTAGTGTTCACTAAATGCAGGTGTTCATGAGAGGTGCTCAATAAGACAACATTTACCGTAATTGTCTAAATGCTAAAAACTATATTTTGTGTCTTAAATAAAACTCCTCTTTGTAATTTTCTGCCCAGTCACATATTTTTGGGGTATGATTGCCATTGGAGTCAAAGAAAATGAATGTTTTATAATGTAGTTTTTGTTGACTTCTTCTACCACAGGGTTATTCTTTCTGTATTCTTTATAGTGACCCTTGTGCAGAACATACCATTGGATCTTGTATGTTCCTTTCTTATCATTTATCCTGATCAGCTTAGCCACTTGAGGCCACTCCCCTGCATATCGTGGATGATCTAGTACCTTGGTGAAAAAGAATGGAATTGTTCAAGAACTGTTCTTGAAATGTTACAGAATGGAAAACTGAACAGTTCCATAAGTGTTCATCCAACTGATTTTGATATTCTAGAACTGTTCTTTAGCCCTATTTACAACAAATTGGACAAAATGAAATACTTATTCTGTAATAGTTCTGTAATTTTAACCTATGAGCATTGGAATTCTGGTAGAATATATAAAGAACATTTAATTGTTTCTGTTATAGAACTGTAATGTCATTAATCTGTCATTTTGGTTTTAGAATTGTTCTTTAGCCCTATTAACAACAAACTGGACAAAATGAAAGAATAATTCTGTAATAGTTCTATAATTCCCTTTTATGGGCATTTGAACTCAAGTGGAATATCAGAAGAACAATTTTAGCTTTAGTTATAGAACTGTAATGACATATTTCTTTCATTTTAATTCTAGAACTGTTCTTTAGCTCTATTTACAACAAATTGGAAAAAATGAAAGAATGATTCTAATATTTTTCTTTTAGGGCTATTAGAATTCAGGTGGAATATTTAAAGAACCCTTTTATGGTTTAGCTATAGAACTGTAATGACACGTTTCTTTCATCTAAATTCTAGAATTGTTCTTTAACTCAATGTTTTCAAATTCAGAAATACACAAAATAAAAACGATTCTATAACAGTTCTATCATTAATTTTTTCCTTAGCATTGGAACTAATATGGAATTAGAATGTAGAAGTTAATTTTCATATTTGTGCAATTTTTGAGCTAATTTAATACAAAACAAGAGTATTGCAAAGAAAGTGATAACTTTATTACTAGTAGTAATCAAATAGAACTTTAAAGCATCTTTATTACTTTAACCACTTAAATTTTAATGTTAAAATGTTCAATGTCTCAACTGTTAAATTATTGTCTTACATTGGTTTTCGTCTTAATACCTTCTGCAGATTTCTGAACTTTGACCTGAAAACATCCTTCGAGCAACCCGTCTTTAGCATGCAAACTCGTTGCAACTCATTGTAGAGTTCAGTTTTAAGTGGGGGCTTTTGGCCGAGATGGGACTTCTTGCCTGTTACACTACGATTTATGAGTTCCTCTTTTGTGAAGACTTGTTGTGAGAGCGTTACGATAACGTCTTGAACATCGGTAGATTGAAGGTGTTTCACCTTTTCTATCAAGTTGGATTCAGCATCATTTTGTTCTCGAGGTTTTTCTTCCATATCCAATAACCTGTCTTCCAAAGCGTTTAGTTTTCTTTTAAGTGATTGGTAACGCTTTTCAAGCACTGCTACCCTGGAATAAAAAAAACAATTATTTGCTAAGTACTCTTTAATAAAGTTTATGAATCCGTTATACCCCCCTCCCCTTGTTTTTTAGCTCATGAAAATTCACATTACCTTTTCATTATTTATCACATCAAAATCCTAATGAATTATGCCAATTTTGATCCCCAAATCATAAAAAGTATTAGTGAATTCGACATCACTAGTAATATCAAATATTGCAGCTATTTTCTTTGATAAAATAAAATAAAAATGGAAATAAATAAACAGTCGGATGAAATTGGGTACTAATAAGTATGTTATTTTTAGGGGGAAGGATTGAAATACTAGTAGTTTAAAGAACATAGACTAATAAGTGGAATAAAAAATTTAATGTTATAGATAATACCATACCTATCCTTAGTGCTGGATTTTTTGGTCTCCTTGGAGTGCTGGGGTGTCTCAGGATCTTCATGATGATCATCATCTGTGGATTTCTTGGGCGTCTCACGGCGATCATCATCATCATCTGTGGTGTCTGCACCCGTGTCTGTGCTGTCTTGCCTGTCTGTATCTGTCATATAGGTTGCTAGAGCACTCTTTCTGAGTTTCTCATTGCAAATGTCTTCTGCATCTTTCTTTTCTGAAATATAAGAAAAATATACATCATTAGGCCTATTAATATTATGAATAGAATAAAACATACATTGATCAAAATTAAAGTTATTCTAACAAAAAGCACATGTTGCAACTAAAGACATGCTTTCAGTTCAAATTTTGTGGAATGAATCTCTGGAAATTGTGAATTCAATATCAGTTCCATCAACTTTAAAACTATTCCGTTACAGATCCAGAACAGTGACACAACAGTTCAATTTCAGCAGAGACATATCTGCATTTGGAGATGTGTGACTCTGCTTTCAGTTAGACGTCTAGTTACAGACAACCTCAGATAACACTATATATCGTGTGAAACTAGTGATTTTTCACAATAACACAGCCCATATTGAGCACAGTGAGTTGAGACAAGAAATTCAGAATTAACTTACTTTTCACGATTTTGATGACGACTGCTTGGAACAGTTTTTTATCATGTTTCAGATTGAGTATTGTTCCTTCTTGTAAGCTTAAGGGCCCTTCCCTCCTAATGCTTTCGTCGCATATTCTAACTAAACTTATATGACTGATGATTGATAATTCTCTAGTCTCTTTCCACAGAATAATGTAAAACATGATTTAAAATTTAAATCAAATTCGCATAAACCTGTAAACCTGCTGCTACGAAATTGAAAATGGCGCGTTTCAAACTTGTGTCTATGTTGAACAACGTCAGTATTGAACTCGTCCATATTGATTATCGGGGGTGATAGCACTACTTTTGCGATGTTTCATTGATATATTAATGTAAATATTCGCAATAAGTCGCATCGAAAGGCAATGCATGTTTTTAATATCACTAATATATACATGACAACATGAACAAATAATATTGTTGACTGTTGAAAAGAAAAATTGTTAAAATTTAAATGTTACCACCCCTTATTAAACTTCCCGCCAAGAGTTCACGCCATAAAAATATTGCCCATAAGAATGTAATTCCAACACAAATATCCCTTGTCTCAATACTTTTTCAATCAATCGCAGTGTAAATAATGTATTAATTATTGTGTAATCATCGATAACTGAATTTAAATTAGATTTCCAGAAGTATATTGAACGAAAATGTTTCTTTTACTTTAGAAGTCGTGCGTATTGATAACTGAATTAAGTCGGTGGCATATCGTAGTCTGATAACTCACCGAGGTAATATTCCCGAGGAATAATCCCGATCATTCTTAACTTCCTTTGAAAATATTCCCAGTCTGAAAACTCACAAATGCATTGATTTATAGTCTTATAAATTATGAATTAATAAACAGTCTTCAAAACAAAGTTTACCGTTCAGATTAATACATCAAGCACTGAACGAATACATGTAACATCTCCAGACTACGATTTATCGCCAACACAAAAATGGATGGGCGTGCAAAATCAGACTGCTTTCAACATAAGGAAAGTGGTAAATTTGTGTGCCTAATCTGTCAAAAAGAGCTTTCATCCAAAAGAAATGTCCAGTTGCATCTTGTTGATATACACGGGGCATGTAAGTAGACAAATTTATTTCATTATTTGTCATTTAAATATGAACCTGAATTCTTTAAAACCGACTTCCGGTCAAGACGACAAGCCTCCAAAAATTGTTTTAGGCTCCAGACACTTAGAGCCGAAGGAGAGAGTCATCTAGTTCAAGGGTTTGATCATTATAACAGTCTGTATGTAATTCTCTGTCAATACTATAGCTAAGTAAGCTCTACTTTATTTTTTTGTTGGGCGATAATAGGTGAAATACTTTCTTAGCGCTCCATGTAACGACTTCCAATCATCTTTGCGCTATTACTATTAGAGGGGAAACATAGTCATTCCAGGTGCATGTCTTTCTTATGACAGATTCAGATGCATTGGCAACGCTGCCACTGATCGATGGTTATGATTGGTCGAATCAATTTATGTTAATGGTTGATTGGAAACTGTAATGCAATTAGAACTTTGAATGTCAAACTTTAGGGTTTCTCGAATAAGGTTAAGGTAACTCTGTATGATAGAAATTTTGTTGCAATCCTCCATAGAGCCACATGTTATTTTTCAAATATCGATCACGCCTTCCCAACATCAAAGGTCAAAGGTCAAAATCTAGGTCAACTCAAAGCTTTTTTCCCGTTTCTCAAATCCTGACACTACATTTCAATATATTTGCCTGAATTTTTGCATACAGATAGATATTAATATTCTATTAGTGTTAGCCTTTTGCCGTCTAGAGAAATTTTGCCCAGATTTTGAGATATTGAAGGTCAAAAAAGGTCTTTTTTCAACTTGCTTCAAATTGACCAATTTTTTTTTTAAACTCATCTACAAGCTGTCAGGATTCCAAATTGGACCTTACTTTTGACCTTTGACCTTTGGTTGAACTTCAGTGACCTTCAAATCGATTTTCTGGATTTAAATTTAGGTATATTTAATCACAAAAGACCTCCTAAGGCCTAAAAAGGTAAAATTTGCAAGGTCAAAGGTCAAGGTCATTGAACTGAATTTCAAACTTTTCTAAGTTTCTCAAAATTGGTGAATACAAATCAATATTTTTTAATGAAAGTCCGGATATATATTTCTGTAAAGGTTCTACACATATTAGCCATTGAATATGTATTAAAATTTTGCATCAGTTTTGAGATATTGGAGCTCAAAAACTGAAAAAGCTCAAATTTCAAAATTTTTCAAGTTCAAATTTCAAAATTTTTCAAGTTCAAATTTCAACTTGATCTAAATTGACCAAACTTTTTTTTAAAAAACATCTTCAAATTCCCAGGATTCCAAATCTGACCTTACTTTTAACCTTTGACCTTTGGTTGACCTTCAGTGACCTCCGAAATGTAAAAAAGTCGATTTTTCAAATCGATTTTCTGGATTTAAATTTAGGTATATTCAATCACAAACGACCTACTGAGGCCTAAAAAAGTAAAATTTGCAGATCAAAAGGTCAAGGTCATCAAGCTTAATCACGAACTGTGTTTTCTAATTTTCTCAGAATTGGTGACTACAAATCAATATTTTTTAATGAAAGTCAGGATATATATTCCAGTAAAGGTTCTACACATATTAACAATTGATTATCTATTAAAATTTTGCACCAGTTTTGAGATTTTAGAGCTCAAAAACTGAAAAAAGTCAAATTTTGAAATTTTTCAAGGTCAAGTTTCAACTTGATCTAAATTGACCAAACTTTTTTTTAAAACTCATCTACAAGTTCCAACTTGATCTAAATTGACCAAACTTTTTTTTAAAACTCATCTACAAGTTCTCAGGATTCCAAATCTGACCTTACTTTTGACCTTTAGGTGACCTTCAGTGACCTCCAAAAGGTCAAAAAGTTGATTTTTCAAATCAATTTTCTGGATTCAAAATTTAGGTATATTTAGTCACAAAAGACATACTGAGGTCTAAAAAAGTGAAATTCGCAAGGTCAAAGGTCAAGGTCTTCAAGCTAAATCACGAACTGTGTTTTCTAAGTTTCTCAGAATTGGTGACTACAAATCAATATTTTTTCATGAAAGTCAGGATACATATTCCTCTAAAAGTTTTACATATATTAGCTATTGCTTATCTATTTAAATTTTGCACCAGTTTTGAGATATAAGAGCTCAAAAATTGAAAAATGTCAAATTTCTATATTTTTCAAGACTAAATTTCAACTTGCTCTAAATTGACTAAACCTTTTTTTAAAACCATTTACAAGTTCTCAGGATTTCATATCTGACCTTACTTTTGACCTTTGACCGTTTGTTGACCTTCAGTGACCTTCGAAAGGTCAAAAAAGTTGATTTTTTAACTTGATTTTCTGGATCCAAATTTAGGTATATTTAATCACAAAAGACCTACTGAGGTCATAAAAAGTAAAATTTGCAAGGTAAAATGTCAAGGTCATCAAACTAAACCACAAACTGTGATTTTTTAAGTTTCTCAAAGTTGGTGACTACCAATCAATATTTTTAAATAACAATCAGGATATATAGTTGTTTAAAGGCTTTTCACATATTAGCTATCATTGGCATATTATTGGCTATATATTAAAAGATTGCACCAGTTTTGAGAAATAAGGGCTCAAAAACTAAAAAGGTCAAATTTCGAAATTTTTCAAGACCAAATTTCACCTTGCTTCAAATTGACCAAACATTTTTTTCAAGATCAAGTTAAATTTCAAATCTGACCTTGGTTTTGACCTTTAGTGACCTTCAAAAGGTCAAAAAGTTGATTTTTCAAATTGATTTTCTGGATTTAAATCCAAGAATATTTTATAACAAAAGACCTACTGAGATCTAATCTAATTTGCAAGGTCAAAGGTCAACGTCATCAAACTATATCACAGACAGTGTTATCTAAGTTTCTCAAAGTTTGAGACTACAAATCAATATTTTAGATTGAAAGTATGATTATATATTTCCCCAAAGGTTCTACACATATTAGCTATTGACTGTCTATTATAATTTTGTACCAGTTTTGAGAGTTCAATTTCGAAATTTTTCGAGACCAAATTTCAACTCGCTTTAAATTCATCTTAAATAATTTAATGTCCTTAGGAGTTAAAATCTGGCCTTAATTTTGGCATTTGACCTTCAAATTTAGGTCAGCTCAATTATAAAAGACGTTCTGAGGTCTGTTCAAGTTTTAGGGTCAATTGTGAAGGTCATCGAATTAGGTCACAATCTATGCTATCTAAGTTTCTAAAGTACGAGACTACAAATTAATATTTTTGATTGAAAGTCAGGATATATATTCCTTTAAAGTGTCTTCACATAGTAGTCGATGTCAATTAGTCAATGTCAATTAGTCAATGTCAATTAGTCAATGTCAATTAGTCAATGTCAATTAGTCAATGTCAATTAGTCAATGTCAATTAGTCAATGTCAATTAGTCAATGTCAATTAGTCAATGTCAATTAGTCAATGTCAATTAGTCAATGTCAATTAGTCAATGTCAATTAGTCAATGTCAATTAGTCAATGTCAATTAGTCAATGTCACCGACCAACCAACTCACCCAACCTACCCAACTCACCCAACCTACCCAACTCACCCAACCTACCCAACTCACCCAACCTACCCAACTCACCCAACCTACCCAACTCACCCAACCTACCCAACTCACCCAACCTACCCAACTCACCCAACCTACCCAACCTACCCAACTCACCCAACCTACCCAACCTACCCAACTCACCCAACCTACCCAACTCACCCAACCTACCCAACCTACCCAACTCACCCAACCTACCCAACTCACCCAACCTACCCAACCTACCCAACTCACCCAACCTACCCAACCTACCCAACTCACCCAACCTACCCAACTCACCCAACCTACCCAACTCACCCAACCTACCCAACTCACCCAACCTACCCAACTCACCCAACCTACCCAACTCACCCAACCTACCCAACTCACCCAACCTACCCAACTCACCCAACCTACCCAACTCACCCAACCTACCCAACTCACCCAACCTACCCAACTCACCCAACCTACCCAACTCACCCAACCTACCCAACTCACCCAACCTACCCAACTCACCCAACCTACCCAACTCACCCAACCTACCCAACTCACCCAACCTACCCAACTCACCCAACCTACCCAACTCACCCAACCTACCCAACTCACCCAACCTACCCAACTCACCCAACCTACCCAACTCACCCAACCTACCCAACCTACCCAACCTACCCAACCTACCCAACTCACCCAACCTACCCAACTCACCCAACCTACCCAACTCACCCAACCTACCCAACTCACCCAACCTACCCAACTCACCCAACCTACCCAACTCACCCAACCTACCCAACTCACCCAACCTACCCAACTCACCCAACCTACCCAACTCACCCAACCTACCCAACTCACCCAACCTACCCAACTCACCCAACCTACCCAACTCACCCAACCTACCCAACTCACCCAACCTACCCAACTCACCCAACCTACCCAACTCACCCAACCTACCCAACTCACCCAACCTACCCAACTCACCCAAGCCAACACTGCTACTCAAACCAACACCAACCAACCCAATCCAATACCAAGTAACCCAAACCAACCAACCAATGTCAAAATCTAGGTAAAATCAAAGTTTGTTTAAGTTACGAATAAAGAACGTTTCATTGGGATATACTAATGAGGTAAAGGATTGGAGTCCATGTCATATCATATCATATTATATTTAAGAACTGATACTTAATGTTCTGA